GCCGGGCCGTCAAAAATTGTCGACGGGTACCCGAAGAAAGCGGGCCGTTTTTTGGGCCAGGGGCAGCCGCCCTGTGTTTACGGGGAGGGCCTCCCCTCCACGGGGGGCCCTAGGGGGGAATAGGTGCCTGTCGCGATCGCGCGAGTCGGGCTGAACCTCGTCGTCATCTTTTCCTACCCCAACATGGGGTTTGGGGGGGGGGCCCCGCCCACACCATTCTTCCCTTGCCCCACCCCCCCACCCACCCACTTAGGGCCCCATTCACACCCCGGGGGGCCCCCCCCCCCCCCCCTTACCCCGCCGCGCCCGTGGCAGCCACGCGCAACGCCATGGACTCCGCCTTGGCCACCTTTGGCCGCTGCTGCTGCCCGAACGTGGCCTGCCTGCAGGACCAGGCAAGAGTCCGTCGGCGCGTGCAGGGGCGCCACACACCTCATCGACGGTGATCACCTGCCTAACATACACACCCAGGCGGGGTCAATCGGCGAGGACAGGGCAACCACTACTTGTTGAGGTGACGGCGATCTCCTGACTAATACATGTATTAGGCGGGGTCCGTCGGCGAGATTGAGTCCAAGGACACGACTCTGGTGTCGTCCCTCACCCGCAAGTCCGTGGCTCTCCCGGAGGAGCGGGGCCACTTAGATGCGAAAGCGGGTCCGAAGTCTTCCGGCCAGCAAACGTGGGCTCTCACGAACCGCGTTCAACGCTGCTCGCGCTGTGTTCGTAGCCCTCGTATAGCCACACGCGGCCTCGAATACGCTAAGGTAGCACACGAGCTGCCGTATCTTCAAGACCCTGACGCCGAGATGTGTGCTGGCGACGCGGCAGGACCGGAGCCGCATTCAGCGCGAGCTCCTCCGCCTGCGCACCTACTCGTTCGGCAGCAAGTTCGAGACGCAGCGCCTCCGCGTCGCGATCACCCTCGGCTTCATCGCCTTCACCACCCTGATCGGGCTTGTTCTGGACGACATCGGCAAGGTCGAGACGACCTCTCCCCCCCCCCGCCCCACACACACCCCACCACGACCCAGTCTTAGTCTTACGACGTGGACTGATGTGCGAGAGGTCTCCCTAGCCACACCACCATTGTGTGCGTGGGGAGGAGCTCACCATGCCTTGCACTAATTAACTAGGTCGTTGACCTGATCGGGTCCGTGTGCGGCTCGACGATCGCCTTCGCCTTCCCCTGCTGGGCCTATTTCAAGCTCTTCCCCGACCGGCGCGCCTCGCCCTTCTCCATTATCTCCTCGGCTCTCCTCGTCCTGGGCCTCGTGCTGATCCCTCTCGGCGTCGCGCTCACGGTCCTCTTTTGAGGCCCTTCGACGGGCCCCGCGCGCGTTTGTGCTCCCTTATTCTAGGTAGGGAGACGCGGAGCCACCACCCCTTCGCACCTCGCGGCGTGCAGCCCCCAGGACGCCGAAGCGGCGTTGCCGATCGAGGCGACGCCGGCCGGGACGGGACGCTCCCGCTGCCTCGCCGCTTCCGACCAGGGTGGGAGGCGCGGCTTGCGACACACGGGTTGCATGCTGCAGCTCTTCAGCGTTGCAGCAGCGCCGTCGCGCAGCGCTGTCTCCCTGAAAAGGCAAAGTTCTTCGTCACCTGTGTCGCTTGTCATGCTCCATCTGTACGATTTGATGTATTGTTGCAGCTCGTTGTACGACTTGTGTTGTATCATTCCGACAACTCCATAATGCACGATGCTATGATGCGCATGTCTGGGCATACACAGGCTCACAGAGGTCGGTGACGCGCGGCCGCTGTTGTTTTCTATGCAGAGAGAGCCGTACGGGAGATGTGGAGGGGGTGAGTTGACCAGGGGTTGTGCGCCGGGCCCTCCTGCTCGGCTCCAGCGAGTAGACAAGTGTTACCATCAACAGTGGAGAAGGATCTGACCTCAGGGCCAAACAATGTGGCCAAGTGCGCTGGTAGCTTCTTGATGTGCATCTAATTGAACAGACCGGTCCGTGAGCAGGCTTCGCCGTCAGGCGCCGTCCTCTTCACACGTCTGGCGAACGAACTGCTCGCGTCCGAGGTCCTCGACGCGTCGAGGTCGTCGAGGTCGAGGTTGAGGTCGTCGAGGTCGAGGTCACGCCCGGTAAACTTGTGCGTCTGGTCGACCTGAATAGTCCACGTCTTCTTCCCCTTCTCGCCACGCTCGTCCAGCTCTTTGCGCAGCCGCTCCGCGCGGCGGCGAAAGGCATCCCTCAGCAAGGCGGCCTCGGCCTTCATGATCCCATTGTCGTTGAGCTCTAGCGACGTGAGCGTCGAGTTCGATTTGAGCGCGTCGCCCAGCGCGGCGCAGCCGGCGCCGAGCGCGCAGTAGTTCAGCTCGAGCTCTCGCAGCGACGCATTCTTCGCGATACCGGCGGCGAGGTCAGCGCACGCGTCGGGGCCCAGCTTGTTCTCCGACAGGTCGAGCTGCGTCAGCGAGGTGCTCTCGCCGATGGCGCGCAGCGCGGGAGCCACGCCCGCGCTCAACTTGTTGTCGCTCATCTTGAGACCTGGAGCGTGGTGTTGCCCCTGAGCGCCTCGAGGACGGCCGCGCCGCCCTCGTCGCCCAGCGCGCAGTCGCTGAGCTCAAGCTCCGTCAGCGACGTGCTGGCGGCGAGGCCCTTGCCCAGCGCCACGCCGCCCTCCTCGATCAGGTTAGACTGGATGTCAATCCTCTTGAGCGTCACGCTGCTGGCCAGCGCCTCGCCGAGCGCGTTGGCAGCAGCCGCGTCCAGCTCGTTGCTGGAGAGGTTGAGCTCAGTGAGGCCGCAGTCGCCGACGGCGGCGCAGATGGGCAGCGCGCCCGACCCCAGCTCGCAGGAGTCGAGCTGCAAGCTGGTGAGCGCCGGGTGGCCTTTCAGGCGCTGCGCCAGGCCCGCGCCAATGTGGGGCCCGCACTCGGCGCAGGAGAGGTTGAGCGTGGCCAGCGACTTGCAGTCCAGCAGCTGCGGAAGGAGGCCGCTGGCCTCGCCATTCTTCCACTCCTGCGAGGAGAGGTCGACGCTAGTGAGGCTCTTGCTGCGCCCCACTGCCGAGGCGATGGCCTTGGCGACGGCTGGGATCTCGGCAGGGCGCATCAACTCGAGGTTGCAGTTGGCCTCGAGCACCAAGAGCGAGGGCGCGTCCTCGACCATCCTCGCGAGGGCGATCCAGCCCGCCTCTTGCATCGCCGAGTCGTTGAGCTTGAGCGTCTTGAGCCGCTTGTTCCCGGCGAGCGCGGCGCACAGCGCCGTGGTGCCGTCGGCCAGGATGTAGTTTGCCGACACGTCGAGGCTGGTGAGGCTCGAGTTCTTGGCGAGCAGCTTACAGAAGGTGCCGAAGTGCGTGCCGTTGTACGCCTCCCGCTCATCTGCGGCCTCGATGCCGCACAGCTTGTTGTTCGACACGTCGAGCTCCGTGATCGAGGTGGCGCCCGCGATGCCGTGGCCGAGGTACACCGCGCCTTCCGGCCCCATCTCCTCGCCGCTCGCCTTCAGGCTGTGCAGCGCCTGCGAGCAGCACATGAGCACGGAAAGAGCACCTGCGCCGCCCGCCTTGAGGTTGCTCTTCATCGACCTCACGTTGAGGTCCGTGGCCGACAGCAGCGCCGGCAGGTTGGGCGCCGCCATCTGCACGCGCTCCCATCTGTTAGGCAAATCGCTAACCGCGTTCTTCGCCTGCACCGCATCCTTCATTCGCATCAGCATGTTGGCTTCGTTGTTGTAGTGCTCGGGCGGATGCGATGTCGACTCGGCCAGCATGTCTCGCAGCACGCTCTTCGCATAGCCGGGCAGATCGAGGGCCGCCTCCGCCCCGTCGGTGAGCTCCCTGAGCTCGGACCACGCCGTCTGCGTCATCTCGTGGGCCAGTTCGAGCTGCATCGACTCGCACATGTCCATGCACAGCTTGCGCCGCCGTGAGACGACCTATGAACAACATTTCGACCGCATCGCTCGTATCCGATCGCTCTGACCTCTCTCCCCTCTCGGAGACGACCTGCTCGATGGTCAGCGCGGTGAGGTTGACCGAGAGGCGCGTCTCGACAACGATGACGCCGCTCTCCACCCTCGTGCCGAGCACCTCGAGTCCCGTCATAGGGGCGAAAAGGATTTCGGACTCGTGAGGGTATTGGCTCAGCCACGAGAGCGAGGCGCCGCGATCCACCATCCCCATCTGAATCTCGAAGCAGAGACCCGCCCCGCCGCTCCCCCCGTAGTGGAGCGCCACCTCCTTGTCGAGCGTGGTCACGTTAACGCGAACTCGACGCCGCCCGCGACGTTCCACTCGTTCTTGGCCCAAAACTCGCTCGGCAGCACGCCGCCGCTCACGCCGCGGTAGACCTTTTGCGCGGTCATGATCTTGGAGAGCTTGACGCACGATGAGTTGATGATGTGCAGCGTCGTCGTGTAGTTGTTGCCCAAGCACAGCTGCTCCAGCTTCTGCACGAAAAAGGGAGCCTTCCCGCCCAGGCCGCGCAGGATCGCGTTGTATCTGCGCGCGGGGTCAGAGGAGGAGGGGGGGTGGGGAGGGGGCTGTGGGCTGGCTGAGTGGGGGGGCTGGGAGCTGGCTGAGTGGGGGGGCTGGGAGCTGGCTGGGAGGTGGAGCCGGCGCAGCGGTGGCTCACTTGATGAACATTGGCTCGGTGTACAGCCGCGCTCCCCAGAACTCCTCATCGCAGAGCGAGGTGCAGTCCTGCGTCGCAAGCTGCTCGTTGACCCGCTGCAAGTCGATCGCAAAGTCAGAGAGCGGGCGGGGCTTGCGGCAAAGGCTGCGCGTGTCCTCCCTCTCGCGCAGCTTGGTGTCCTCGGGCCACGGGTGCTTACTGCCCGGCCCAAAGTCGGTGTGCTCCGGGTCGACCACGAAGTGATACTCCGTCTTCGCCGTCGTCGTTGTCCCATAGTTGCCCGCGATGAAGGGGAGCCCGGAATCGGCCGAGTCACAGTGCTCCCGCTTCATCGCCTCCCGCAGCTTGGGGTTGGGCGTCCCAATCAGGCCCTCCAGCCCGCCGAAGAAGGTGTCCAGCCCTCCGTACGACATGGTGAAAGACTCGCCCTCCTGCACGAACTTTGCGTGTAGCTCTGCTCCGGTGGCGCCGCCCGAGGCGATGAGGGTCGACGCGCCGTCCCAAACAGCGTCGGCGATGCGGTCGAGCAGGTGAGGACCAGCCTGGCGGAGGAGCGCGGCCACCGACTCGCGTGAGCCGAGCTTACCTAGCGCGCGCACGAAGGGTAGCGCCAGCGATGCGTCGGCCGAATCGAGCGCCAGTGATGCGTCGGCCGAGATTGGCGAGAGGAGCGCGGCGGCGATGGCGTCGTTCAGCCCGAGTGAGTTTAGCCATTGCCCCATCTGCCACTCCTGGCTCGGGTCGCCCTGTGCCGATGGGGCGGCGAGCCTGGCTTCCGCCACGATCCGAGAGATGTCGGCCGACTGCTCCGCCCGCTGGACATAATGGACCAGCTGCTTCGCCCTCGGGCTTGCTTGCTTGCCGCAGAGCCCATCTCCGCGTCGGCCGCATCGTCCTGCCGCTTCGCTATCGCGTCGTCAAGCTCCGGATTATCTGGCTTCAGCTGCTGTTCCTGCAGCGAGACGGACTTGCCCGGCTTACTTCTGCGGAGCAAGCCCATCCCTCACGGCTCTCGTTCGAGCGCTCTTGAAGTTGAGAAGCTGTCGGGTCTGAGTGTCGGGCCCGGGGGCGATTGCCGAGCAGCCGCATGAAATGACACTGTCACGTCCCGCCGCACAACACTGGGCACGTGAAAAGAAGAAAAAGCGATAAGGCTCGTGTGCCGAGCGAGAATACTCGCCCGAATTCCGGCGTTTTCACATTTCTCGTCCTATTACGCTATTAGTACCGTGTGCTCTCTCGAGAGCCGCATCATGGCTTTAGTCTGCGGACTCACTGCGCAGCGAACTGAACATCCCTCATTTTTCACGATTGCGTCGCCGGCGCGCTGAGCGAGCGAGCTCCGCCCCTCCGGGGCCCCTCCTGCCTCCGCCATCTTGCATCAGCGAGAGAGTGTGAGCTCTGTGTCTTGAGCACTTGAGCACTGGATAGGGTCAGCTGGTGCTGCAGACGTTCATGGAGGGCTCGCCTGATACTGGTTTCGTCTACACCTTTGACGGCCCGATTCGCGGCAAGGTGCGGGTGACATGCGAGCTCAGGGGCCAGGGTGTTCTTTCTCTTTTCTCACCAACCGAGCTCGGGGTCGGGCTCCTCTCTTTCTTTCAGCCAACTAACCGGCTCTCTTTGCGCCAGCTGCTAGCTTACGCATGGATTGGGTCCGATCGAGGGTCCGAGGCATCAAGGAACCACTTTGGTGGGGTACGTCTGCGCTCACCACGCCCCACGGCGCGCGCGCCGCACTAGCACGGCGACGGCGGCCAAGCCGGCGACGGTCGCCCCCGCGGCGGGGACGAGGGAGGTGACGGCCTAAGGTGAGAGAGGTGGGGTAACCCAAGGCGCGTGTCTCCACACACACAGTCACCTCCGCGTGCGCTCGGGCGCGCGGGGGGGGGGGGGGGGGGGCTTCAATCACTAGTCGCTTGGGGGCGTGGGATAGGGGCCAGACGTCTTCTGGAGTGAAGGTCGCGCCTACTCTACTATACAGCACTACTCGGGCTTCGCGGGGCGCCTCCCCTTGCTCCAGGTCCGAATCGCCGTCGTCTGCAGACCGGCCGAACAGGACCATGCTCGCGAGGAAGAAGGACGCGGCGAGGCTCGGCGCAAGGGTCGGGAGGAGGCCCGCCTGCTGAGTAGTCGATTCATGTACTAATTGGCGAACAGCCTCGGCGCAATGGGCCGGGAGGAGGCCCGCCGCCGCCGGAAGCGCGGCGCCCATGATGCCCCGGTCGTTGAGGCAGATAGCGAGGCTCGCCGAGACGAAGGGGAGCAGGAGCCTAATCTCCCGTAATCTCCCGGGGCGTCGTCTCGCGGGTCTTCTCGGGGCGCGCAGGGACACCAGAACGAGGGGAGCAGCCGCCCGTTGACGATCTGCGCGGCGAGGATCACCTAACAGAGAAGCACGCGATCGTACTTCTTTTGTGGGAGCCGAGTTGCGAGGCGAGCCGAGGACCACCCCCATCGTCGGCAGCCGCAGCAGCGACGGTACCATCCCGAGCAAGACGATGGCGCACTGCAGGCACGCGCGGCCGCCCGTCGCCCACGACGCGCCTATAGTAGGGTAAGGTAAGGTAAGGTAAACTTCTCCACACACACGAGGTGGTGGGGCAAGGGGGGGGGAAGCCCTCGCGTCTCCACGTCTGACGACAGGAGCCCCACGGCATTTAAAGTGCAAGGCCCAGTGCGCGTGGGTGAGCGGTGTGTGTGTGTGTGTGTGTCTAAGTATACTACAGGCGGTGTGCCAGTAAGTAGTTGTCTCTCGATAGTAACGATAGTCTCTTCCCTCGCCCCGGTCCCTAGGGGGTGTGGATCTAAGCAACGCCTCCTGGGTCGCTTGGGCGTGAGAGAAGGGGTTCCGTTCTTGGAGCGCGGAGGAGCTGCTTACTGCTTCTACTACCCTTGCTCGACTCGCCTCTCTTCTCTCCAGGCTGCGGCGTGGCCCTCCAGCCCAGCAAGTCCTCCACCGCGAGCGCCGAGCCGAGCGGCACCTGTTCACACCCTGCAGGCGTGTGAAGAGAGAGAGCAGCGGTTTCCTCGGCCGCGGCGAGGGCCGAGCCGAGCGGCGCCGTGAGTGCCGACGAGATTCCGGCGCCGTACAGCCCGACCGCGAAGCACGAGACGCCGGCGCTGCCGCCGATGCGCTGCAGCACTTCTGCCAAATGGCGGAGCTCGAAGCTCGCCGTCTCGTCCGCCAGGTGCACCGGAGCAAACGTCGGGCTCGCCTTTAGATTGCCCGAGAGATACCCGAGCTTACCCGAGATTGCCCGAGATTGCCCGAGATTGCCCGAGATTGCCCGAGATTGCCCGAGATTGCCCGGGGCAAACGTCGGGCTCGCCTCTGCGCCGGCGGCGAGGATGAGCAGCGAGAGAAGGCCTGCACACGAAACAGAGCTCAAAACGGACTGCGAGGTGGCAGCGGCCAGAGGGACGAGCAGCGAGAGAAGACGCCCGTCAGCAGCGACGCGGCGGCGACGCCCTCGCGCATCGCCGCCACAGTGCCGCCCTTGGCGATGGCGGAGCCGAGCAGGAGGTTGAGCGGCACCGCCGTCGTGCCCATCAGTCCCAGGGCGTCGGGCACCGACTTGGGCGGGAAGGAGGGCACCAGGCCGCTGACGAAGCCCGGCTGCAGGCCACACGCCGCCACGACCGCGCCAAAGAGCACGGCGAGCATGAACGCCACCACGCCCAGCGCTGCCGAGACGGCGTCCGTGGACCCGGCGAGGAGGAGGGCGCAGCAGAGCGGCCCGTTGAGCCACAGGAAGGCGAGCCGGATGGCGCTCTCGTCCGTCAGCAGCTCGACGCCGGACGCGACGCCTGAAAAGATGTTGCACTCGTACGCCACGCTCCCCGCGAGCACAAACAGGGTGAGGGCATGCCTCGCAACCGCCTTTGCGCCGCTGGGCGAGAGATCCCGGATAGCCTGCCCAAGCGAGCGCTTTCCCTCGATCGTGAGCCTCCCCGCCGCGTCCTGCAACGACCACGCTACGGCGACGGCGACGGCGACGCACCAGACAAGCCGGTGGCCGTAGTCGGCGCCCGCCTTTGCGCACATCGCCACGCTGCCCGGGCCGATGGTCGATGCCGTCAGCACGCAGTACTTGAGAATGTTGCGCGTGCGAGCCGTCATGAAGCCGGGGCAGTCGAAGCGCTGAAAAAAAGAATTCGCCTCCCCCGAGTGTGTGTGTGTGTGTGTGTGTGGCATGAAGGTTGCAGCGAGAATCGGCGAGAGACTGCGAAGAGAGATAGGAAGAGGCAGACTCCCTAGGGTGGGCGACGGATAGCGCACCACACACCTCTCCTTAAAATCCCTGTGTGGTGGCGGCGTGCCGTCCTCCCATCCCTCCCTTGGGTTGTCTGTTTTCTTTCTTTCTTTCTGTGTGTGTGTGTGTGTTTGAGGGATGGGAATGGAACACGCGTACACGTACGCAGCGGCGGCGCTGATCGATCAAGTGGACCGGGCCCTCAGCGCGGTGGAAGGGGAACCAGCGAGGGTGGCCGTAGGCGTGTGGGACGGTGCACGCTGGGGCTCGGTCCCCGAGTGCGCTGG